TGTTGCGACCTTCACTATCGTGTCCCATGTGTTGAGTTTCAACACAATACGATACATTGGGTGGCGAAGACCTTCGTCTGTTGCTATCGTTCATCGCTCGCCGTGTGTTGAGTTCGATATTGTTGCAGTAAGAAGTGCAACAACTTGGGCAAATGTGAATGGGTCAGTCAATATTGACTGGGATGCAAATGAGTATTTTTGGAGAATTCATTATTCTTGTTTTGATTATATCAAAATATCGATTATTTTGAAAACCCTAATCTAAAGGCAGAAATGCAGTACGTTAGCTTAAAACAATGGAAGTCGAGACAGAAAAAGGTCACAGGTCAGTGGTGTGGATAAATGAGGCTGTTTGTAGAAATAATATGAAGAACATTTCAGAGTGCATAATTACTTGCATCGAATCTAGACAAGCATTTTAAAAGACTACGATATTTACAGCTGATGCACTGCAGAGCATGAGCTTTAAGCTAAAACCAAAGTAATAATACTACGGCTATAACCTCATCATAATATGGATTTAAATTCTGAGAATTATACTTCACAACTTAGTCAACACTAAATAAATCATTGCAGTGAAAAATAAGCCAGTACTTACAGCATGTGTTCTTAAGAAGCTTGTTTGTTCAGCCACCCATCAACAACCCTTAACAAAAAGCAGAACCAAAAACAGCTGACAGCGATAACTTGTGTAATCTCCATCAAAATCTAATTTTCTTCTTACATGAGCAATCTGGACTTTGTCCCACAGACCCTGAAAACCATCTGGAAAGAGATAACACATATCTGATCTAAGGCCATTTAACTGAATCAGCTCAGGCTGTTGTAAATGCTGGTGATTTTTCCATTAAAAGCACAGTGTTTCTCACGTCAGTGCTGGAAAATGTGTTGGATACTGGGCAGTTGTATTTACAAAGAGTAAAACCACATGACACCACTTTCCTCTGACCACAGTACTGAATGCTGTAATTAAGACTAAATGTGACACTGAATATCCTGGTGAAATGCTGGAAAAACAGCACCAGATAAATGTCACAACTCCAAAAATAATCACATATGAATAAAATAAGACTTTTTCAGTGTTCTGTGATTGCAAAACAAATCAAGCAGAAGCGTTTCATATGCTCAATGGAGGTTCAAAAGTAAGAGTTTAAAAAACTGAATATATTATTTATATTTCTAATAAATTTTAAACATCTGAGACAAAGACGAAATATACCATAAGATCAAAAATGTATTACAATATATTTTGCTACGTAAATCAGTCAAAAAGCAGATATATTTTTACAGTCAGTCAATTACTGCAGGACATAATTTTATTTCACCTGTCAGAGTTAGGGGCGGGACCAGCACTGCAGAAGATACAGATGATTGGAGTTCCAGTGATCAGATGCCTCTCTCTTTTTTTAACCAAACCTTTTCATCAAACCTTTTCATGGTGCCATGCAGCATGACAACTAAGAAAGATTTGACTAGTACTGAAAAAAATTAATTATTTTCAAAAATATAAACATATATACATATATGTATTTTACATTTAATTATTTTAGATGAGTTATTTAATAAAAACTAACATTTTAACAAAATGGTACTTTTTATGAATTAATCATAGTTATTTGAATGACTGTTTTAGTATATTTTATTGCATCATGAAACTTTTATCAATCAATTTTTTATGAAGCTGCCTTTCTGCAAAATTAGTCAATTGCTTTGTGCTTATTTGGACATATTTTCAATCTATTAAGGTTTTCAGAAAAAGTTAAATTTGCTCCCTTAAAATGCCCTTAAAAAGACCAAAGAAACAAAACAATGAAACTAAGATGGACTCAAATAAAGTCGCCTTATTCCAAACTTGATTAATAGTCAGTTATGTTAATCATTTCTCTATTATATGTTTGGTGTGTTCTATATGCAAAGGTGAACAATGGTCCTTCATCATCATGCTTCATCAGAGTTGGTGATCTTAGCTGAACATTATGTCATAAACACTTGTCTTCAGATTAATTATGGCTTAATCCAAAACTCCAGAGTTTATTCAGGATTACTAGCTGATCAATTATTGCTTGGAGCATTATGTGCAAGCAAAGTTTTTCTAAAGAAAGGGTGTGCCTAAAAGATATCTTAGTGCTGCGTTTAGTGGTACTAAAGGCACTAAATATTATAGTGTGACAATAGTATTGTTACGTTATTTAAAGTAACGATACTTTAAATAGCGTTAAATAAAAGCTGAAGAAACAGTTTCTCTTTGGTTGAACTGTCACAGGAACGGTGCCGTCTCTCGGCGCGGTCCGTTTCCTGGAGTGTTGCCAAATAAGTAGGATAAATACTTTAAACAAGTACTTATCCTACTTATTTAAAGGGTAAGTGTTTTTCTTGCCATTCTAGGCATTCAAGCTCTGTTGTGACCTAACAGAAGATGGACAGTGCAGTGAATTAATAACATTTTTAAAAATGACACGACTTCAAATAGACATCTTAATTAATCCATCTCTGTCTTAAACAGGTGGTAGCCATGTTGGATTTTGAAGCCTCGGTTGATGGAGAAAATGTCCACCTTTGCGACTGGGGATTCCTAATGAGTTCAACTATAGTTGTTAATCAACTAATCAAAGAAGAAACTTTATGTTTAGTTTGTTACATAAAACAGGAACAAATGAAGTTGTACTGTCTCTCATTGTAGTGGCTCTTAAAACTTCCGCTGTTGATTATGTGCAGACATATTTGAATCTTGATGAAACTGTTCATCCTAAACATTCACCATGTTTTCCACTGACATAGCACATCAACAGATTCCGTATCCTGCAGACTAAACAGGGTTTATTTAAACCTTCAGGTGATTATAGTAAACACTTTAAAGGCACAGCGACGTCAGAAGAAAACCAAACACACTAAATGGCGTTTATGATTTCAAACAGTGCATTTGTCACCGCCTTAGCAACTCACGGCGAGGTTTTGCAGACGAGGCGTTTAAGTTGACACACGTGGGTTCAGACAGCGTCAGCCGACCATCCTGAAATCTTCTGTGCAGAACCGCAGAAGGAAAGGTAACTCCGCGGGAGGGGAAAAAAAGCTGCCGAAGCTTTGGTTTAGGAATGAAAAACGAAAACAGGTCCGAATGAACCACCTGTCGGAAGCTGTCACTTCTTAGAAAACAGCAACTGAAGGAGGAGAGGCGGTGCAGGTGAGAGATGGTGACTGAGCAGGTAACTCAACCCAAAGAGGGCGGGACTAACCTCACACCTCACTTTGCTGGTTGACTAGAGGTTAATTCGTCTCAAAATTTACTGACATTTAAAGACATTTTTTCCTCTTTGATAAAACAAAAGTGTGTGCTTTATTTCCTGCATGCTGTTATGTACGTCAACTTGAGGGCGGTTCCAACCCTCCTTGTCTCACGATTTCATTTGAAGAATTTCTGTCGACATGATGGGGAGTTTCCCTTTAAATATAAAAACGATGAGTTTTTTCCACTTTAACTGGAAAACAAGTATAGTATATAATATAAAATAAGTATGTGCAATTAAATTAAATTAAGATATAATATTTTATTCTAAACAGTTTGCTGTAGTTTCATCTGACTATAACCTTTATTTCAAATAAGAAACTAAATCAAGCATACAATAAAACTATGTCTTGCAGGCTTAATAGATCATTTAATTTAAATTAAATTACAGAAGTGGTAATTTAAAATACATTCACAATGATATGTTCAACGTTTACAAAGCAACAGACAATATTAAACAAACAAATAAGTAAAATCACTTCAGAAATGTGTTGCATTGTTTTATTATTCAGAGGCTTCTTTTGTACAGTAAGCAGAGACTGGTCTAAACTGACTGGATTCCTCAGGGTGATTGCATGGATGGCTGCCCAGGTTTCGGTATCACTCACTAACAATGACCTCTCTTTGGTCCCTCCAGAGAAATTCATCCACACAATGCTGTTCTTATGGAGTGCAAATTACATGAACAAGCAGTCATAGTGCTTAAACTAAAAGCCAGAAGAAAAGGGCACCTCTTGGGGCATCAAGGACAGACGTACAACGTGGCCGCCCCACAGTCAGTGTTTATCTGTACTCACTGTTGCTCAACCACAAGCACTCTGATATGTGATTTGTTTGGAAGGTGGTTACTTTAGGAACCTTGTCACTGGGATTGATCATTAACCTTAGCTGTCAGTACTGAGAAATCTGTTTGAGGAAAGTGGAGCCATAAAGGACAAACACTGAAAATGCAGTTGACATTAAATGCAACCAGGAAGGCGTTGTAGAGGACACAGTGTGAAAACATTAAGGCCATTCTTTGGTATTTCATATGGGCCGTGTCACGTTATCTCACAATACTGTTTAGGATTTAGGCTATTATTGCTGTGCATAAATCCAGACTGTGGACTTTCACATTGACTAAAGTGTGACAAAACCTCATTCGAACACTAAAAACAAGCATTATAATAAAAAAAAGGAACTAAGTACTAAAAATCTGTCATTTTATCACATTTTAAAACTATTCTGCCCTCTGCTGGACAAATTAGGTAACACATTGAAACTAATGGTTTGTCCAAGTTCGTTAACTAAATTTTTTATTCATAACCAAAGATTGCTGTGACTTTATGTCAGACATTTTTACAGTGTGTAAATATTGAACCCACAAACCAAGAGACTGGAAAGAGGGACAGAAAGGCAGATGAATGATTGTATGGATGAATGAACAGAAGATGGATTTAGACATGAGGATAATGAATTAAATGTGAAAATGCAAACATTTTCTATATTCTCTCCTGTTTCAACATGTATCCAGACACAGGAATGATTTCAATTAGACTTTTGACTTTTCCTGACTGATCAGAAATCCTGGGTTTGACTTTGAACACAACCAACATTTCTATTACTATTGTTTCACTTCCAGCTGCATACATACTTACAATTAATTAGATTTCAATAAATGTATAATATAATTCACATTTAGTATTTTTTTCATACTTAGCCTGCAAGAATGAAATAATTAAAAAAGAACAAAAGTTTAATAAAAAAAAATTACAATTATAAACACTCAAACTGTCCAAACAACACATTAATTTCATAAATCTTGTTTTCTATCTGTGAAATATTAACTATCTAGTTTGCTGCAGGACAATATGGTGATGAAGTCTTCTTCACAAATACTCTCTGAAACAAGAAAGAAAGAAGATTTTATTAAAACCACTTATACTTATATCACATAATTATGTTTTACCAATAAGGTAAAAAAAGAAAATGCACTATCTAAACAATCCACACTGCAAACAACAGAGCTATTCAGCAACATTTTGGATCCATCTCTGCAGTTCCCACATGATTTAAAATTTATTTTAGAAGGAAAAATACTAAGAATGTGCTGACACTCTATCAGGTATATGTGTCACTGGGATAAATGATATCCATATTAATAATGCAGGTGTGTCTTAAAGGAGCCATACCTGAACAATAGCCTGAGAAACAAAGAAAAGCTCACTGTAGTCAGGTCATTCAAAACAAACATTTGAGATGCTAATTACGTCAGGATATCTTGTCAATCACCATAAATTGAGACCTGGTGTCAATATCAGATAAAGAAGTGTTTTGTCTAATGTTTGACACCAGATATTATAATTTGCCAGACTGTATTTTATTTCTGGTAATAAATAGAACTTCCACGGTCATTTACCAGATAGTTTAAATTTCTGATAGAATAAATTCTAAAGATTTTAAACCAGATCTCAAAAGAGTGACTTGTGTAACCTTAGAATTTTACCAACAACTTCAATACTTAACATATCAGCAAATCTCATATAAGAGTGTAAGGTAAAATATTGTCAACCAGAGGTGGTTCTAGACCAAGTTTACCAGGCGAGCCGGCGTGGGACACGTGTCTTTTTATGAGAGCGCAGGACAAAACAATGAAACAAAACAAATAAAAATCAGGGCACTTATTTGTTGTTTGAGTTCAGAACCTCAAATTCCAGAACCCTGACCTAGAAGATGAAAACTCTAGATCAGAAAAATAAGCTTCAGTCATTTTAAACTGGTCCAAGAGACCAATTTGTAATGAATTCTGTCCCAGTGTTTATCATCATAAGAAATAGATTTAGAATTGTCCCTTCATTCAGGGGTGCAAACATCATCTCAGAAGTGAGGGGGACACATTTTTCACAGTTCAATTTAATGATACGTTGTCTTTTCAGATTCAGTCACACTTCTCCTTAGTAGCTAAAAACACATATAATCACCAACCTGTTTTTAGTTGTTTAAGCTACACATTCCCAAGGTCTAAAGTGTTAGCAGTCAAACTCTGGTTGAATTGAATTTGAATTTACTTTATTCAACAGACTCATGGTCCACAAGATACACAACAACACAACATAAAAAAACAAAAGAAAATGAAAAATAAAATACAATAAGTAGTCATAAAAAATACAAATATAAATCTTATAGAAGACTTGTATACCAATGTTTCCAAAGAGCCGACTGGTATCTTAGCACACTAACAGAAGGCTGTGAGAACATTACAAGAAGATTGTTCGGTGAGTTACCCAAACGACACATAAACTTGTATATCAGATTTCTCAAAAGGGCCTGAAATGTTCTGACATGTGCGTTACAGAACATTTGACTTGCACTGCTGAACCTGGGTTTCCTGATCAAATTCTCAAAGAGTCATTATAAGCAACCTTAAGCTTCTGCATACTAGTTTTTTTAAATTTGCACCACAAAGGAGCTGTATACAAGGATGTACAGTAAGCTTGTACAGGCTTATTTTTACCTCATCAGAGCACATATGAAATTTCCTCCCCAAAACGTTTGCCTGGGCGTATAACATGCGACACTGCCTATAGATGTCATCATCATCAGAGAGCTGGTCTGTGATGTAGTGACCCAGATACTTAGTTTTGGAACAAACATCTAACTTTTGCCCTGACAGAAAAAAATCAGGGAAACAGAGTTGTTTGTCAGCTTTAGTTCTACAAACTAGTACAACTGTTTTCTTAGCATTATACTGCACATCAAATCTCAACCCATAATCAGAGCAGATATTCAATAACTGCTGAAAACCAGCACTACTGGTGAGAGAACAGCCAGGTCATCAGCATACATAAAGTGATTGACCAAAGTATCACCAATCATACACCCGGTTTTACAGAGGTTCATTTCTTTTGATAGGTCATCCATATACAAGTTAAACAGGGCAGGTGAAAGAAGCCCACCTGCCGCACACCATTACTAACACCAAAGGAAGCAGAGATGTTATCTCCCCATTTTACATGCATTTTCTGGTTAGAGCACCAGTAAACTAAAATTCGTATAATAATATCTGAAACACCTCTTTTTTTTAATTTGTCAAATAACTTATTGTGATTAACACGATCAAGGCCTTAGAGGCATCAATAAACCCAAGTAACACAGATGAATTTTTCCTTAAGTATGTTCTTACAGCTTCTTTCAGGCCGTAAATACAGAAATCATTCCCAGCTTGGCTTTAAAACCAAATTGATTATCTGTTGTACTAATAAACTGATTAAGCCGACCAAGCAAAATTTTTTCTAATACTTTAGATAACACACTAGCCAAAGCTATGGGTCTGTAGTTATCAAGGCTGCCAACCTTATTAGTTTTGTCCTTAATTACTGGCACAAGGGTAACAGATAGTAAGGAATCAGGCAACTGCCCATGGGTCATAAACCCAGAAAAACACATTGCAAGCAGCACAGACACTTTTTGGCTAGCATATTTCAAATGTTCTGCTGCAATGCCATCAGAACCGGTTGCTTTATTCTCACACAAATTTACTATAGCCTGCTGAATTTCACTAGGGGTTATTATAACCACATCATTCTTAGCAATGTTTCCCAGTCCATAGGGTTAATTTTGTACACAGTTAAATAAGGCAGAATAGTGCTGTCTCCATAGATCAACTATATTATGAGCCCCAGATATGCCCTCTATGGTATTGGGGAGTAATGCAGCAGACCTGTTTAAGGCTCTAACATCATTCCAAAAGCCAGTGGAGTTATTACAAAGTGTTAACATGGTGGGTGAGTTTCCACATGTTAACAACAGATCATTGTAATTCCCACAACTTTTCCCTCTGTTGGGGAATCAGTGCTGTAAAATAACAAAAGAAAGTAACACCAGAGTCTAAAAATGTATATTATTGAAACCAACCTCCTAAATTTGGCCAGGGTGCTTAAAGCGAGGACTCCATCTGCACCATAGAAAGTGATCAACACACTGCTGATTATTACGTCTGCTCTCATGACGTAGGTCTGCCACACCAGGAAGTACACCGACAATAAGATGGTTGTTACTGTCATAATGAGGTTCCCAAACATGTAGCTGTCACTCTCCGTCAGATTGCCCCGCACACCTGCAGTGGATTCATCCAGTGAGTTTCAAAAATCTTATTAACACGCTGCATGAAAAGTGTGTGTCAAAGTGACTCAGTGTGCAAAGTGTGAACGTTTTCCTCACCCCAGTAGAAATGCAGAAACTCCAGAGCAGCAAAGAGGAGCAGGAGACCTACATCATTTGTCAACGCATCAGAAGGATACGGCAGCTCCAAGCCTAACATGAGCAAATGTTAGTAACTGTCAGTAGTTACATAAAACACGTGCTGGATAGAAATATAAAAGAGTGTCACATGGCATCACGGACTCTTCTTGATAATTAGGCTGAGAGTGAAGAGGAAATAGAAGACGAAGTAGATGCTCGTCAGGTTCAGCAGCAACTGCAGGGTAACAGAGGACAGCTGCAGGCAGAGTTAAGTATTACTGTCTCTTCCAAATATCAGGTTGGACAATGTGTTTTCATTATTTTCGATGTGCATCTCTTTAACAACATTAAAAAGGATACCGAACCCGCAGACAATCCTGCAAATTAAAACACACACGACAAAGTGAAGCAAAACAGGAACAACAAGCTAGCGTATGTAGATACACTATATTCATTTTTATAAAGTTTACGCATGAGAACGGTCTATAACCATAGCAACGCGTCCGCCTACCTGGTCGTGGAATCGCCATTTTGATTTTCCTCCTCGAATTTTCAAAACAAATACGTCTCCATCTGCTGGCTGGAAGACGTACTACAACATGGAGACACTTTCTCCAAATAAAGCTAAAATAATCATGCATTCACAAAATCTATGACTTCTACGAGCCACATTTATCAGAATAAATGTGCTTTAAGATTTAAATAATAACCTTTAACAATACTAAACACACGTTTCACATCTTTTCAATGGTATATTGTAGTATTCTAATCTTAAAATGGGATTTTCCGTATAAATGGAAAATAACAAATAAAAGTTGGCTAAGATAATCAGGCTATGTGTAATGAATCTATATAATGTGTTTAATTTATTGAGATACTAATATTGATTAACTTTCCAGTGATATTCAGAGTTATTGAAAATAACAGTTCATATAAAAATGACAGTTGTAGTAATAAATATAGCTGTGAATCTGCTTATTTGAGAATTGACTGAGATCCTTGTCAATCCATTCAAAGCAATTTTTTATAGTGTACAAGAAAAAACACAAAACAGCAACAATCATTAGAAAAATACAACAATAAAAATAACAGCTGATTATTTCTCTGATGATCCTTTTAACTTTATCCGGAATATAAACTGAAAAGCATGTCCATGTGTTACCCAGGTTTACATGGCTTGTGGCAAAGTTCGAATTAGATTTCTCCTGGCTTTTTTACTAATGATGGCTGTCTTCTTGTGGCATTGGACCACACAACTAACTGCCCTGTGAGCAGCCATGAATTTCTGCAGAATATTTTGTTTGGTTTGTACATTATTATTCTGTCTTGTCATAAACCAAACCATAAACGGAGGTGTGCAAAGGAGAATCTTATTATGCCTTAGTTAAAAGAGCATAGAATCAAACACATCAGGAGAAACGCAATTTACTTCTGCTCCTGCTTACAGTTGCTTGTCTCTATGAGATAAGAAATACAGAATAGCAAAATGAACTGCTTTAGAATATCCAGCTGTTTCATTGTCCTCTGGAGCCTCTGTCTGTTTCTCTTTCTCGCTTGTCCTCTAAAACAATCTGCATAGTGTGGCTGGAAGAACGGAGGCGTTGTTTTGGTTGAATGGAGGAAAAGCAGAGGGGTGGAGGGGTGGACAGCGAAATGCTCCAGCTGTGGGGGGACAAGACAACACAACAGCATCTCACATGTGGGTGACGGAGGGGGTGGGTGTCCAGGCTGCGGGGGATGCACACAGTGGCATTGTTATAGGAGGGTTGGATGTATCTGATAATGTTGCTAGAAATGGATCATTTGCTCAAATGCTCCCTTTAGGAAGCCTTCACACAGAACACTAATGTTGCAATGTCTTTGTCTAAGTTCAGAAAAATTTTCTCCTCCTCCGAAAAATGGACGTGAGGTAACACAAGTATTTTAGTAAAGTTCTGAATTGTGTTAGAATTAGCATAATTAAAATAAAGTGAATTATAATGCAAACAGGCTCAACTGTTAGGTCCTTAAAGATGATTGTTTGTGGGCTTATTGAGAGGTAAACAAGCATTGTCTTCTCTTTTATGATTTTTTATTTATTTATGGTAAAGCATTATTAACTCATACAGGAATAATGGAGATTACTGAAATACTGTGTCCAATATTTGTCTTGGACATTTCTGAAGGCTGTTCACGAAAAATGTAAGTTAATTCTTACCACTACTCATTGGCCATATGTTATTACTTTGAGTCTCATTTTCATAATTTTGCAACCATATCATCATAATGCAGCACAAGTCATTCAGATTATATGACACTATTTGGTCTTTTCCATATCATTTGTTTTTCTGGTGTCAGAGTTTGATTTTGAAGTGAAATCTCTCCTTAGGCACAGATTGTTCCAAATTAATCTTATTTAATACTATTTCTTCTTCAAATCATTAACTTTTTTCTTATTGACTTTGTTGTTGTTGCTATAAGAATAAATTATTCTAGCTTGATTTGCACTGACAGACATTGCCCTGATTCATTTGTCTTTGAAATAATTGTACTTACAGCCAACCTTTGTTGTTTGTAAAAGTTTGCATACATTTTTTTCATGATAAACTGTTTTCCCATATCTGTTCCCTTCATGTATAACTGCATAATATTTTTGCGTTGCACCTCAAAATTACCGGCATTCAACAACTGGCAATGCATTAAAGCTTTCGCCTCTGTTTTCAATATTATTGTGATGCTTAACTACAGTTTATGTTTTATTATCCCCACAGTTTGCGAAATGAGTCATCAGGTCATTGTTCAACAATTGCTCTGGAAAGTCACAGAAGCAGAATCTTGAACCATGAAGACTTTTGAATTTATACATAAAATAAGAGTGACTTTTCATAAACTTTCAAGACTCTTCCCCCCAGATATAATTTTTCAGCAGCAGCAGCAGGCTGTCGGACATCCCTCACCTGCCTCTGCTCCTCTCCTCCGACTCTCCCTGCAGCACACACCCTGTCTGGGAGGGAGAGGCGCAGGAGGGACACAACTGGCCTCACAGACTCCCGGAATCTACTTTAAAGTCATTTTCACGCTTTTGTTTTTGACTCTTATACAAAGAAGAGTTTTATTCCTTCTTTTGCAGGAGTCATACGTTTTAAGGAAGCAGCCGACGTCACATGTTTTTTTTTGTTTGTTTTTTGTTTTTCTTTATTAAGTTTATGAGAACTGAATTTGCGCTGTTGAGGCGACTTTTTGAACGTTATGTTCATGTGGAGCGCTCTTTGTTTTGTTTAATTTTTAAAGTTTTATCCCGTCACGTAGAGGCCTTTAATTCGTGCAACAAGGGAATTTTGAAACTTTAAAACTGGCCCTTTAGATTTGTGCCAAGCTGTTTTACTAAAGCCGAAAAAACTTCAGCGCATTTAAACCGGCATTTGTGCGAAGAAGTGAAGTGAAATAAAATCGGGATTTCGTAATGTATATGTGAAAGTTCCCCCCACACCCCCAAATCCGAATCGGTGTCGTTCGGAAAAGGGGAGAATTTGATGGAGGTTTTATGTGGGACCCGCTAGGATGGACGTAGTAGATGAAACGGAGGCTTTACAAAGATTTTTCGAAGGTAAGATGTTTTCTGATCATCTCATTGACTTTTTACGCATGCGTCACTATCGAAACAAAACAAAACTTACCTTTTTATTTGTAAGAGTTCGGGCTTATAAATTACTTGAAGTCATTTATAAAAAAGACTCTTTTTCTACATTATTTTTTGCGACAGGGGCGTTGCGAAATTTAAAGCTATACCTGGGCTTTTTTAATGTGAAGAAAGTCCTGACCCAAACCTCAACGTATTTGTAAACCTTTGGCCATAAAGTTATAACATTTTTGTTTTCAGGCAAATTCATCTTTGTAAATATAAATATCCACTTTAACAGTTGACAATAAATAATATTGTCACAATCAGTTAATAAGAAAAAGTTTTTTTCAGATAGATAGATAGATAGATAGATAGATAGATAGATAGATAGATAGATAGATAGATAGATAGATAGATAGATAGATAGATAGATAGATAGATAGATAGATAGATAGATAGATTCAATAACGTCTAAATGGTTTGAGATTTATTTAACACAACATAATACTTTTGTTTAGACATTTTAGGTGATGTACATTTCATTTTTGAGAACATTCATCACTTTCTAAATTGCACATTTTTAATAGCCTATACCTAGTTTCATAATTACATCACCTGCTCAAAGAGAACTGTGCATAATTCTTTAGTCTCCTTTAACTTTTCCTTTAAGGAGTAAATATATTTTGGTTCTGGTTTGGGCAGCCACCTCTTCTTAGTGTGAGTGCATGGGCAGCAAAAACAGCAGAAGTAAAAAAAATACATGAACAAATGTCAGGGACAAGACGTGTTGTTCTCATCAGATATCATCTGTAATTTATTTTCAACAGTCAGTGTGCTCTGATTTGTTGCTTTGAAGATTTCTCATTCACTGCTGAAAACAAGGGGATTTCAGAAATGTTAACTGGTGAGGGGAGAAAAAGTGCTGCTGATGGGTAACAGATTGAGGAGAAAAGTAGGAATCCTGAAGGAGGGGGATTAGGTGGAGGAAGGTGGGGCTAAAAGGGTGTAGGAATTTAAGTCAAGATAAATGGTGTGTTTTGTAAGTGCTCTGTTGGACCAGAGCCGGCTTGAGATTTAATGGGACCCTGAGCAGAGTTTAATTTGGGGCCCCAATTTTAATTCACATTATTTATTAAATAAATTACAGTAGTTAAATAGTGCAGAAGAGGTTATTTCTCTGAATTACCTCTTAGTTCTAGAGTACTGTGACTTTTTATAAGCTTGGTAAAGTCAGGAAAGAGGAACCAGTTTACATTTAGTTTGCAGCTACATTGCAGATGAAATATTACTCCAGAAAAATGTTAGTTTCATGTCAATTTTATTAATACAGGATGTTTTAAATAGAGATATTTAGGGTGTAAATAATTAGATTTTTTTTAATTTATTGTCCGCACTAGCAAAAACATAAAACAACTATGATAAAACTAACTAATAACTGGGTAAAACAAGAAGACCCCAGAGGATAAAGGACTTGATAGGACTCGATCTTTGCTGGACTTTGAAGCCAATGTAAAAACAAAAAAGAAGGAAGTTTTTAGTTTAAGACACATTCTGTTTAAGAAGTCAGATGCTATTGGGGTCTGCTACAATTTGAGTCCTAGTTTAAGACTTTTGACGGGAGCAGACCCATCCCAAAGGTCCCATACTGGGGGTCCTTCTCATTTAATACTGAAGCCCCTCGCAAACTCAGATTACAACAACTGATGAGAATGATTATCTAAATACACAAATGACAGAGCTACCAGGTGACTATGAAGACGATGAGCACAGAGCAGATGCAAGTCAATGTGTGGACCTGACATAATGTTCTCCAGCTGAATAGAAACAAAACTGAAGTAATTATTTTAGGACCTTAATAAAGGACGGCCCAGACAACTCTCTTCATGAGTCTGCCTTGGGAAAACAGAATATTC